GTTCCATTTGTGTATTGCTATCTTACCAGCGGCTATCAGTTCTCAAAGATCAACAATTTAGGAATTAGATTGATGCTGCAAGAATACAAAGGTGACTTGTAATTTTTAAGTCTGATTGAAATTTGGAAGGTCTCAATTCTCCTTCATATAGTTTCCCCCGCCATCCTTCCTGGCTGGCTGACAAGTCCAAAGAGACTCCTGCCATTCCCGCCAGCACTGGGAAGATGGAGTTCAATGAGCTGTGCATTAAGAGGTCACAAAGGCAAACACAAGGCCTACATACAGAGAACCAACACACACAACCACACACCATTCCTCCACCGGCAGAGGACAGAGATTACTGCATTACACGTCTCCCACTGGGAGTCAAGAACTGGAAGATCTATACAAGCTGGGAGGCAATGGCACAAAACAAGGGGTCATGGTCATTGTTTTCTTTTGCATGTCTTCTCATTAGTCAGGCAAACTATTACTTACAAGTTTTGTTCCTTGGGCTGGCGATAGAAGCATGATGTATCAGCTTCAGAGCCACTCTTCTTTTTTTATTAAAAAAAAAAATGTTTGTTACCTAGTTTTGACCGCACTGGGTCTTAGCCGTGGCATGCAGGCTCTTCATGGTGCTTGGGCTTCTCGCTAGTTGTGTTGAACAGGCTCAGGCTCCAGAGCGCATGGGCTCTATGGTTGTTGCTCACAGGCTGAGTTGCTCCACAGCATGTGGGATCTTAGTTCCCTGAACAGGGATCAAACCTATGTCCCCTAGAGCCATTCTTCTTAATGCAACCTTTGGAGACTGCCAGCTGATGCTAAGAAGAGTGGGTGGTTTTCCTTAACACACACACACACACACACACATAACATGCACACACATACATGTACACTCAGACACATACCATATATACACACAGGGAAGGGACATCAGGTACACTTAAAACTGTCACTCTAATAATATCAGGAAAAAAAAAGGACAATTTTTTTAACTTAGATCTTTAATTATGTACATAAATAGCAACATGAGAACGAGGAGTTCTAAGGCTTATACATTATCTCTAGGTGGAAGAATTTCAGATTAGTCCACTTGGAGTATGGCATCACCCAAGATAACAAAGAGGCCTAGGGTAGTTTTTCCAGAAGAATGCCAATTTACTACATTCAATACTGACTTCTCTGCCATTTTTATGTAGAAATACTGGTTTACCATATGGAGTTTCCAATGTTTACCTATAATTAAAAGAAAAATAAAAACATAAATACAGTGTCCTCCCAGATAAAAACAGCTCTAAGAGTTTGCATTTTTAAAACTTCTCAGGTTTAAATAGAGAAAGTCACATCAAATACATATATTACCATTACATGACATCACAATGAGCTGGTGAAAACTGTAATTATTCCCATTTTATAAATGAGTACACTAAAAACCAGAAAGGATTTTGGTTTACCTTTTATTTCCAATACTATATGCAGATTCTCGACGGGCTGTGTATCTGAGATAAATTAACCAGATGGATGGGTGAATAAACTAAAAATAAATGCTTAAATGGTACAGCACACACTACATTCCTCCCCTTCTGAAAATCAAACAACCATATTTCCATCCGTCTGCTGGGGGAGAGCGTGATGATATCACAGCTAGCACTACAGACATCTTTCCTCACATGACCGACCCCATCATTCTTTTTTTTTTTTTAATGTTACCTGATGTACTTTATTTTTATTTTTTCCATTTATTTTTATTAGTTGGAGGCTAATTACCTTACATCATTGCAGTGGTTTTTGTCATACATTGAAATGAATTAGCCATGGATTTACATGTATTCCCCATCCTGGTCCCCCCTCCCACCGACCCCATCATTCTTTTCTGGAATGAAACACAAATCAAATCCAAAGGTACAGCAAAGACAAGCCAACTCTCCTTCAGATTGCCTTTCTCCTAATATGTAATGAATCTACTTAGCAATTAGAGATTTACAAAAATTTTAGAGGCCAGTGACTACTTCCTTGATCTTTTAAAATAAAACTAAACATTTTTAAACATGTAAACTACTAGTTTACCTTTTCTATCTCAGTTTATTAATATGTTTTGAACTTCTCTAAGAATTCAATAGATTTACTGCATTGTTAAAAAAAAACAAAAACTTCAAACTACCAACAATCTATATCAATAACGTTTTAATAGATCATGGCAGTCCATACTAGGAAATTATTAAGCAGCTAAAGGAGGAATAAGTACCAACAGGGAAAGATGTACACAATATATTCAGTGACCAAAAAAAAGCAATTTATTGTCTAAAATAGATAACTAATGAGAACCTACTGTATAGCACAGAGAACTCTACTCAATGCTCTGTGGTGACCTCCAGGCAAGAATACTGGAGTGGGTTGCCATTCCCTTCTCCAGGAGATCTTCCTGACCCAGGGATCGAACCTGGGTCTCCTGCACTGCAGGCAGATTCTTTACCATCTGGGCTACCAGGGAAGCCCTGTCATTGATAGCTGATTCACTATGCTGTACAGCAGAAACTAAGGCAACACTGGAGAGCAACTATACTCCAGTAACAATTAATTTCAAAAAAGCAAGTTAATTCATTCAGCATAACTAAACATAGCAGTGTCTACAAAGTATTCTTACCAAAAAATTGAACCTAAATCTGATTAAGCCTTCAAATCCAACAGTCAGTTTATGGGAAATGCAGAGAGGACAGGAACCAAGAGATAAAACAGAATGACACTAAATGGATACACTCAGCCACTGCCAGAACATGGGAAATTTCTAAAAGACAAATAAGCCCAGTTTTTCAACAAATAAATGGTAAGAGAAAAAGGAGGGAGAAGGAACTATTACAGCTTAAGAGGGACTTAAAATATCTGAAAACATAGTTTATATCTTTGTAAAAAAAAAATGAAAGAGACTTAAGAGACTCATCAGTCAAATGCAATGGGCAGATCTTGTTATGATCTTGACTCAAACAACCAAAACAACTGTAAAAAGTTATTAATGAGATGATCAGGGGAATCTGTATACTCAATATTAAATGGTATTAAGGAATTAGTGTTAATTTCTCTAGGTGTGATAATAAAATTGCAATACGTGCCTGCATGGAGCTTTCGGTGTACTTGCAAAACAGTACAAGGAATATGATCTCTTTCTATCAAAAACCCAAAAGCACATTTGGATGTGTGTGTGTGTGTGTGTGCGTGTGTTACACATAGAGAAAAAAGTTTGGAATAATATAGCAAACTATTAATAAGAATTACCTCTGGGAAAGGAATGGAAGACAAAACAAGCTTTCAAAACATTTATCTAAAAACAATTCTTTACAGCAAATATGCATCATTTTTATAATTAAAAACTACATTTCCAATAAACAACTTAAAAAATGAAATCAAGGTTGTATATACTATAAGCTGAACTCTGGCACAGAACATTTTTGAAAAAATGAAAGGAATATGTACACAGCTTCCCTATATTCTGTGACTCATTGTCCTTAGAGAGAAATATAATCATATCCAGTGTCAAGTCTCTGACAAACATGTGTGACTTCTTGGCTGCTTACCCACTAGTCACCCAGATACACATCTGGCCCTACTCCCCAAAGATGCCAATTCTGGGGTGGGGCTTAAGCCTCTGCTTTTCAACAATCTCCCAGGTAATCTGTATCACAAAATGTGAGAAATGCTGACTTAGGGTTTCTATGTGAAGGGCTAGGATGTGAAAGAGGATCTGAATTTATTTTCTGTGACCGCTAAAGCAAGATCAGACCACTGTGTAGGAGTTATAAGGAGACATATTTTTGTTTAGTAAAAGAAACAGCTTCCTAAAAATTAGAACTGCCCAAAGATGGCTGCCCTGTGGGGTGCTTTTCCTATCAGTGGAGGTAAAAAATGGGAACACACAGGGCCACAGAGAATTTTGCTTGAGGCTGGGGGGTTATACCAAATACTTCTTTTCAAATTCTAAGATTATATGACTCTCTGGGTCTCCAAAAATATGGGGGCAATGTGAGAAAGAAAAACCTCAAACCCAGAGCTTTCATGAGTTTTAAATAGTAGCCATGACTTACAATAAATGTAACACTGATTTTTTTAAAACAAATTTCTATTATAAAAGAAAATTCATATTCATTGAAAAAATTTAAAAATACATAAAGGTATATAGAAGAAAAAGTATAAAAATCATCTATAATCTACTATCTGAAGATACATACTTAAATTTTTTTTTGTATTTTCTGGTAATTATCCTCTCTAAAAATGTATTATACTAGCTTCTTTTTTTCATTTGATAATTGTGCATATGTGTGTGTGCTAAATTGATTCAGTCATGTCCAACTCTTTGCAACCCTATGGACTGTAGCCCCACAGGCTCCTCTGTCCATGGGATTTCCAGGGAAGAATATTGGAGTGGGTTGCCATTTCCTTCTCCAGGGGATCTTCCCAACCCAGGGTCTGAACCCCTGTCTCCTGCATCTTCTGCATTGGCAGGTGTATTCTTTACCACTGAGCCACCTGGGAAGCCCAGTCTCAAGTTACTCAATCTTTAAAGAAAGAAAATTACACCTGTGAATTCCCTATGTCACTTATTCTATATAATCTTGAGCGTCTCTACCAAAGTCATGCATTCAGCAAATGTTTATTGAATGATTATTAGGTGAATACAAGTGTGCTGACTATAGTGAAATGCTGTCTGAAAAAAGTAAGCTTAAGAAATGATTGTCTGAAATAGGTTTGTAGACAAATCCAACTGTCGAGTTCTAGCTTGTCTAAAAAACCCAGGTACTTCTCAGGAACAAACACAATTAAAGAAGTCATAGCACTTAAGCCTAGAAATTAAAGATGAAATGAAATATCATCCTGGCCCTTATGTTTCCACCACACAAAGTTTAAACAGCTATAATTAATTTAATTAATTAAAGACAAGTCATTTCAATTGGTGCTAATAATGCTAAAAATAACCACAAAGTTTTTTTGTTCTTTACCTGATTAAAATGGGCAGAGCATGGAGTATTCTACTTATTTCCAGGTGAGTTCTTCACATTTCCTGACTTGTAAAACAGAAAGTAAGAATATTAATGCAGTTTGAAAAGAAATAGTAAAACTTCTAAAGAAATAGTGCACTGTTTCAAAGTGTACATCTTCACTATTTATTATCTGATGCAAAGTGACCCATGTCTCCAGAAACTAAAGGAATTACTAGGGCTCCCTGAGGGCCCTGTTGTAGAAACTGACTCAGGCCCAGAGGAGAGGAGGAAATAAAACTCCATTAATCCTCACTACACAGATCTGGCCAACAGCTGATTGGATAAAACATCCAATCAACAGTGAAAAGATTTCTTCACTACTTCATGTTATTGTCCTTGTTAAAGAAGGTTACTGAATCACTTTGCTATATACCTGAAACTAACACAATATTGTAAATCAACTAAACTGCAATAAAATTTAGAGAAAAAAAAGAACAGTCACTATGATTGAACATCAAAAAAAAGGGTTTACACATATGGTAATACTTCCTGTAGGTACTCTACTCTGTATATCATTCACTGTAGGGGTCAAATCACAAAACATGTTTATTCTGAAAGAGGTTATAATCAGACCACACCCATCCAGCCTGGCTGTCATCTGAGAACATATAATTAGGTCATGTCATCCATGAGAAGTGATGAAGGAAAGGTTCTAGAGGGAAAAATTCACGGGCTACATGTTTAAGACCTTACTTTCTTTCCCATATGTTCTTAAGACTGTAATTCTGAAAACACATTAATAAGACCTGATGTACATCAAGGAACTGAGCTCCCATGAGTGGCAATCTGAAAAACACTAGGCTGCATTTGGGTGAAAATAGGGCTGTGATTCTGTGGGCGACTTGGTGCAGGTTCTCCTAGTGGCCTTCTCTCAGAGTTACCCATGAGTGAAGGAGGGGGAAAGTGAAAAAGCTGGAACAAATGCCTAACCCTATAATTTCAGAGCATGGTTTCTAGCATTACTTCTATTTCTAAGCAATGTCAGGCTTACTGTGTGGGCTAAGAACCTGTCTCTAAGCACAGTGATCATACATTCTGCTTTGCTCAAGTTATCCATACTGGTTTATACCTGCTGTTTCAGTACAATTAATATGTGTCCCCTTTCACTCTCAAGGGTATCCTGTTTTGGATGACAAATTATATGACCACTGTATCTACAGACCACAACCACTTGATGCTGGAGTTCTAGCGAATAAAGCAAGATGTATTGCTTGGTGGATCATCATACAATATCCAGGTCCACTTGCTGCTCTGAATCTACAGGACTCAGTGCCTATGTGCCTTACTCTATTCCTCCAGAGCCTCTTTCTCACACTGTCACGCACACACCAGAGGCCTTCTTGCTGTCGCTCTTCCAACTTGCCAAGCTCCTTCCTGGGATAAGACCTTTGCAAAACAAATCCCTTGACCTAGACTGGTCACTCCCAATTTCTGCCTGGCTAAATGCTACTGATCCTTTAGATCAAGGCTTTCCTCTGTCCTCTGCCCTTCTGTTCAGATGAGAATCTTTATTCACATTCATAGCACCCATGCACTTCCTGATTTGTGGAATTCTTTCATTCATGTTTGAATCCTTCACTAATATATGTTTCACAAGGGCACAACATCCCTAGGACCTCTTAGCACAGAGCATTCAAACATTTGTTGAATAAACAAATGGAATGAGGCAGAACCTAGAAATCTGATGAGTGTTTAAAAAAAGTTTGGGCATGTAATTAATGAAGAGATAAAAACAAGCTTATGAAGATAAGTGAGATAACCATGTCCAACAACTGGGTGTGTCATAAAAATCATGTGGTTCTCTACCTAGTTAAATGTATTTCATGTCTGAATTACCTTAACATAATGCTTGCCAAGTACTTTTAGTGATATCTTATATATTCTACTATGGGTATTTGCCAGCAACTCGATCTCAAAAATATAAACTGCTAAGTTCATAAGCTTTTAAATCTTTTGGACATTAAAAAACTGAGCACATAAAAACATTCTTCTGGTTGAAGAAAACAACTCTGTTTCTAGGAAATTTTTCTTGTTTGATTATGTATTACTTATAGTATAATAAAACATGACAGTCAAATATCTCACTAATGAAATAGTGAGCCCATCCACGCTATTACAAATCAGATCTCTCTTGGCAGAAATCATCATGATTTCAGCAAAAACAATATTCTGACTTCAAAAGACAGTTTGTGACTTAGCACAAGCCAGAAATCAATCTTTTTTTGCATCTCCAGACAGTTTTATTTAAAATATTTTACAATGCAACCATTTTCCTTATAATCTAATTTTAATACATATTGGGTTTCACTGTTCTTTTTAAGTGAGTAATGCATTTTAACCCAACACATCAAAAAATATTATACTATTATTGCAACATGTAATCAATATAACATCAATCAAAATTAAAATCCTGAGATAGTTTACAATCTTTTTAATTTAGACCATGTCTTCTAAATTTGGTGTGAATTTGCCCTTACAGCACACGTCAGTGCAGATCAGCTACACTTCATGTAGTCCATAGCTGGTGTCTGCCATAACAGACTGCAAAGGGCTACAGCAATTAATCAAAATATTTATTTCTAATTAATATGAATTGCCATATGAAGGGGCATTTGAAGCTAAACTTTAAGGTATATTAACCCACTGAAATGTCTGAGACCTTCACTAGCTGAATCATTTTGATCAATTACTTAACTTCTCCAAAATGCAGTTTCCTCAGTTATAACATGGGGATAATAATAGCTGGCTTAAAACTCAATGTTCAAAAAACTAAGATCATGGCACCTGGTCCCATCATTTCATGGCAAATAGATGGGGAAACAGTGGCAGATTTTGTTTTCTTGGGCTCCAAAATCACTGCAGAGAGTGACTGAAGCCATGAAATTAAAAGATGCTTGCTTCTTGGAAGAAAAGCTCTAACAAACCTAAAGAGCATATTAAAAGCAGAGACATGACTTTGCTAACAAAGGTCCATATAATCAAAGTTATGGTTTTTCCAGAAATCATGTATGGATGTGAGAGTTGGACCATCAACAATGCTGAGTGCCAAAGAATTGATGCTTTTGAACTGTGGTGTTGGAGAAGACTTTTGAGAGTCCCTTGGCCAGCAAGGTGATCAAACCAGTCAATCCTAAAGGAAATCAATCCTGAATACTCATTGCAAAGATGGATGCTGAAGCCGAAGCTCCAATATGTTGGCCACCTGATGCAAAGCTGACTCAATGGAAAAGACCCCAATGCTGGGAAAGATTGAAGGCTAAAGGAGAAGGAGATGACAAAGGATAAGATCGTTAGATGGCATCACTAATTCAATGGACATGAGTTTGAGCAAACTCTGGAAGGTGGGGAAGGACAGGGAAGCCTGGCACACTGCAGTCCATTGGGTCGCAAAGAGTCGGACATGACTGAGTGACTGAACAACAAATAATAGAACCTGCTTCACAGACTCTTCCTGAGCAAAGAGTTTAACACCCAGGGCCAAGCTCCCAGCAAGTACTCCATAAATGTCACATATCCTGTGTGGTAGGTCACTTAACTTTTTAAATGAGGAAATAGAAGGTAAGGAAAAATGACCTGTCAAAACCCCAATGAAATTCCGGTTCACTGGATGTGGTAGGCAGAATAATGGCCCCCCAGAGGTGTTTGCATCCTAATCCTGGAAACTGTGACTATGCTACTGTACATGGCAAAGGAGAATTACAGTGGCACTGGAGTTAAGGTTGCAAACCAGCTGACCTTACGATAGGGAGATTATCTTGGATTATCTGGGTTGGCCCAATTGAATCACATGGGTTCCTATAGCGTAAGAGAACAGAAGACAGGGTCAAAGAAATAGGATGTGAACAGGGCTCATCTGCAGAAGCTGGTTTTGAAGACGGAGGAAGAGAGCTGGGAGACAAGGAATACTGCAGCCTCTAGAGGCTGGGAACTGCCCTCAGCTGACAGCCAGCAAAGCAGACCTTGGTCCTATAACTGCCAAGAAACAATTCTGTCAACAACCTGAATGAGCAGGAAGTGAATTCTCCCCTGGAACCTCCAGAAAGGAATGCAATCCTGCTGACAACTTGATTTAGCACTGGACGTCCAACCTAGAGTCTAAGAAAATAGATTTGCATTCCTCTCAGTCAGTAAAGTTGTGGTCATTTGTTACGGCAGCAAAAAGCAAACTAAAACAGATACAAGGACTTTTGACTAATGAGTATAATTAAGCTTTATGGCTCCATTTTCCATCAGGAGATGTTACCTTCTCCTGTGCAGATGTCACATGACATCCATCATGGCTACTATGTCTAAAGTTGGTCCATTTTCTCTGCTTCTGACATGGATAAACCCACTGAATCCTCGAAACAACCCCCATTTACCAGAGCACCAGAGCAATTTCCCAAGGTTCCCTGGTGGCTCAGCTGGTAAAGAATCCGCCTGCAATGCAGGAGACCTGGGTTCGATCCCTCAGTTGGGATGATCCCCTAGAAACGGGAAAGGTTACCCACTCTGGTCTGCTGGCCTGGAGAATTCCATGGACTGTATAGTCAGTCCATGGGGTCGCAAAGAGTCGGGCTCAACTGAGCCACTTTCACTCACTCAAGGATTGTAAGAGGTGGGGTGGGAGTTGGAGAAGAGTGTCCACTATGGGGTCTACTCTCTTGGCTACCAGGTCACGCTGAATCCTGCCTCATCTACATTTTCTGATACCAAAAGTGTATGTCTTTCAAAAAAAGGAGAGACTTTTTCTTTCAGGATTTCTTACTTTTTATTTTGCTAAGTAATATTGTTTTTAAAGAACAAAAGAAAAATCATTGCCTGGTACCTTTATTTCTTAGCATTTTAATAACAAAAACTAGAACGGGCAGAAATTCAGAACAAATTTAGCTTTACAGAAAATCCACTATATTGTCCTTATTTTTATTTTATTGTGGTAAGAACACTTAATAAGAGATCTGCTCTCCTGACAAGTTTTCAAGTGTACAATATTGCAATGCTAACTACAGGCACTACGCTGTGCAGCAGATCTCTAGAATTATCCA